GTGTAATACTCATGACAGCGCATGCCAGTAATCCCAGCACTCGGGAGGCTGAGGCAGGAAAATCACTGTGTGTTCAAGGCCAGCCTGGATTACAAGATGAGTTCACGGCCAGCCTGAACTGCCGCGTCAACCCCTAAGATTTAAAAAAAAAAAAAAAAAAAAAAAAAGACAAGACAGAGAACTTTAGTAAGAGGTCAGAACAAAGGTTCCTTTTGTGGAAAGCCAATGATTGCAGGGAGCACAATTTTTTTTTCTCCACTCTATACATTTTTATTAGTGTATTTTTGTGATATGTAGTAAAAACATTCATTATGGAAGAGTACATAAGAACACATTCACTGTGGTGGAACTGGTACATAGACATATTGATCTTAATCGTTTTACTTTCCATTCCCTCTCCTTTCTCCTGTCACCCCCAACCTCTGATCCCCTTCCCATCTTTTTTTTTTTTTTGGTCTTTTTCAGACAGGTTTTCACTATGCAGTTTAGGCTAGCCTTAAGTTCACTTTATAGTAGCCTGGCCTCAAATTTATGATTCTACTGCCTCAGCCTCTCAAGTGCTGGGATTACAGGTGTGTGCCAGGACATGTGGCTTTTTTTTGTACTGGGAATTGAATCAGGACCTTGTACTTGCCAGACACGTGCTTCTTAACCTTTTGAAGAAAGAACTCTTAGCTCATTGATTCTTTGTATTGGGTTTTTCAGTCTCAACTTCATTAGTTTCTGCTCTGTTCTTTATCTCTGCTTCTATTGGTTCAGACTTACATCACTGGGTTATTTCAGATCACTAATTCTCTTCATGTGTGCATTCATAGTTACAACCTTGCCTCTCAGAAATTCTGTGCCTCATAGGTTTTAGTATGTTGTGCTTCCATGTTTATCTGTGATCCACTGATAAATAATGTATAATTTAATGTTTGTATAGTTTCTATGGCTTGTTTTGCTGTCGATTTCTAGCTTCCTTCTGATGTAGTATGACAGTATGGAGAGGTTATTTCAATATTTTTGTATTTATGTGTGCTTCTAATGGTGAGAGTAGTCCCACATGACTATATTTGAGTCTATCCATCCCTTTGAGTCCAGTGATTTTTGTTTTATGGAATAGGGTGTGCCAGTGTTCAGTGCAGATATTAATCATTGTTATCTCTTCCTGTTGAACTGCTTCTTTTATCTGTATGTAACAGGCATCTTTGTCTTTTCCAATCAGTTTCGACCTTAAGTCTGATAGTCTGGAAGGAAGACAGCTACTGCTGTTTTAGTTTCCTGTCAAATGCAGTATCATTTTTATGCTTTTACTTTCGGAGATTATTAACTTTTTTGGTGGAACTGGGGATTGAACTCAAACCCTTAAGCTGCCAGACAAGTGCTTATTCTACTGAGCTATCTCCCCAGCCCATATATTTTGTATTTAGTACAGGGTCTACATGGTCTCATTACACAGATAGGACTTGTTGTGACCCTCCTGTTTTCAGCCTCCCAAGTGCTGGGATTACAGATGAGTGCCACCACGCCCAGGCTGGGGATTGAGCACGGCCCATGTCTGCCTAAGCAGGCACTTTGATCTGCTGAGCTATCTGGCCAGCCCTCATGCTTTTATTTTTAATCTATGTCCTTTTTTTTTTTTTTTTTTTCAGTATCGGGGATCAAACTCAGGACTTTGCACTTGCTAGGCATGTGCTTATGCTGCTGAGCTATATCCCTGGCCAAGGTCCTTCCTTTTGGATGAAGTATGTCTCCAGGAGGCAATATACAGGTGTATAGTATTTTGATCCATCTGCCAGTCGGTGTCTTTGATTAGGGATTTGAGACCACTGACATTGAGTTAATATTGTAAAGCATGTATGTAGTTCTATTATTACGTATTTTTCCAATACAGATTCCTTTTCAGATATTCCTCCTTTAACGACCTA